TATACCACAGCTTCTCTAGCCATTCGTTTGTTGATGGGCACTTAGGTTGTTTCCAACTCCTTGCTATTGTGAACAAAGCTGCAATAAACATGGGTGTGCAAGAGAAAAAAATCTTACATAGTAAAATAATACTGGCAGAAACTAGAGGCAACAAATTAATATGATTGGATCACAGGATTCTCCTGTACATTACATGTTACCTTAATATGAACATGCATTGAAGCGCACACATTTCTCAAACTAATTTGACCCTTTTATCATAAAACACATCACTGGACTAGTATTTCAAAGCACAGACATGGAAATACAGCTTTGCAATATGTTGTTGGTGCTATTGATATGTGCCATCAAGTCACCTGCGACTCATAGTGACCCTATGTACAACAGTCCTAAACCCTGCTCTATTCTGTGCCAATCTCACTGTCTCTGACACACTGACCCCCATTACTCCAGACACTAAATCCATCTCGTCGAGGGTCTTCCTCTCCTCCAGTCTTCCTGTCCCTCCAGTCTCCCTGCATGATGTCCTTCTCCAGGGACTGGTCCTGCCTTGCAACATGCCCAAAGTATGTCAGACAAAGCTTCAGAATCCTTGCCTCAAAGGAGCAGCCTGCCTTCACCCTCTCCAGGACAAACCTGTTTGTTCTCTTAGCAGTCCAGGGAATATTCAATACTCTTCAACACCACAGCTCAAAGGCAACAATTCTCCTTCTGTCCTCCCTAGTCATTGTCCGGCTCTCTGATGAATAGCAAGTGATTGCAAAAGCCATGGCCTGTATCAGGTGCACGTTAGTATCCATACTGATATCATTGCTCTTCAGTACTTTAGAAAGATCTCTAACCACAGACTTTCCCATTGCAATATGACTTTTAATTTCCTGGCTGCTTGTGCTTACAGTGTGTTGATTGTTGAGCCAAGCAAACTAAAGCTGTGGACAATCTCAATCTCTTTCACCATCCATCCTGATGCTGCCAATTGGCCCAGTGGTGAGAATCTTTGTTTTCTTGATATTGAGCCTCAATCCATAATGAAGACTGCAGTCCCTGACCTTCAACAGCAAACACTTCATGTCCTCCTCAGTTTTGGGGCAGGGTTGGGTCATCTGCATAATGCAGATTGTTGATGAGTCTTTCTCCAATCCTTATGCCATATTTCTCCTCATAGAGCCCAGCATCCTGGGTAATCTGTTCTGCATAAAGATTGAAAAAGTATGGAGATAGGACACAACTCTAGCGTACACCCCTCCCAGTTTTGAACCATGCAGTGTTTCTTTGCTGTGTTCTGATGACTGCCTCCTGGTCTAAGGATAAGTTTC